TATTTATTTATTTATTTATTTATTTATTTATTTATTCTTCTTCGTCAGATATACTACCAACTTTAGCTGCAACAGCTCTGAGGCTGGTGATATCTGCTTTTTTTTCTATTTTAGTGAGCGCCTCCTGCAGTGTTTGTTCCATGATAGAGAATTTTTTTTCAAGTATTTGTATATTATTAATATTATTTTGTATTTGTTTAATATCATTTTGTTGTTTATTTAGATTATTTTCTATTTGTTTTATTGTATTTGTGATATCTGTTATTTTATTTGTTGCTATAGAAGAAGAAACAGAAATATTTTCGGTTTTTTCGGCTGTCTCATTCACTTTATTTTGCAGTGTATGTACAGCTGTATGTACAGCTGAAACTTCTTTCAATGCTTCTTCTAATTCTCCTCTCATCACTTTTATTTCTTTTACTGTTTTCACCATATCTGAGCTCAACGCACTCAAAGAAACTGTTGTGCATACAGGCGCCAAACGATATACATCAGCACACGGGTATCCTGCGTATACACACACAAACACATTTATTTATTTTTTTACTTTTTTATTTATATTTTTGGGTGTAGGTTGTTTTGTTTACCTAGTTTATTTACTTTTTTTGTTTTTTTGTTTGGTTGTTTTGTTTGTTTTTTATTTATTTATTTATTTTATTTATTTATTTTATTTATATATTTATGGTTTTATTTCATACAGATATTAAATCCATAGATATACACAAATAGACACAGATAGAGATAGAGATACAGAAAGATAAATAAAATAGAAACAAAGAAGTAAATAAAGTAAAAACAAAGAAAGACAAAGAAATACAGAGACAGACAGAGATGTGCAAAACCAATCATCAGCAGCAGAAAACAAACACAAAAAAACAAAAAAATAAAAAAACAAAAAAAAACAAAAAACAAAAAACAAAAACAAAAAAGCAAATGAACAAAAAACCAAAAAACCAAACAAACAAAAAAAAACAAAAACAAATAAAAAAAAGAATAAATAAATACCTCTTTGATCAGCCCCCCCAAAGATATAAATAGCTCTATTAGCAGGCGACACGGTGAGGGGGCCCAAAAACCCAAAAAAAAAAAAACAAAAAAACAAAAAACCAAAAAAACAAAACAAAAAAAAATAAAACAAAAAAAAACAAAAAAACAAAAATAA